TACTGTGATTAGATGATGTGTTTTCCCTGGGATTGTTATAAGGAGGATTTATGCCCATTTTTTTGTTAACATTGTTGATGCATGCCTTAAGATGACACTTGAAACTTGTATTTTTAGATTTACAATATGGTGGGTTGGATGGAGTTAAGATTCTGCAAAAACTGTTATTGTATGTCAATGTTATAGGATGAAGCGAATCATTTGTATTGTGATGTATATACATGCTACACTTGTTGGGAACCAACTTAGTTCTTAAACATTGGCCTTACTAATTCAAAATTGTTGTTCTCGTTCATAGGAAGACATCGAAGTGTTGTGTTGTGACCTACCACTACAAGAAAACTGAGATGATTTACAGGAAAAAAAAAAAAAAAATCATTTCTCTACGTTAATAATTTTTTTTCCCTCATTTTTTTTTTTTTTTTCCTTTCTTATTAACCATGTTAAACTCACGTTTAAAGAAGGAAAAAAAAAAAAATACTTACGTTAAATTCCATGAGAGTGAACACATTTCCAGGATTTTTCTTCATGGACTCCTTTCAATATTTCTTGGAAAATGTTTTCTGAGTTCTTTTTTCTTTTTCTTTTTTTTTTTTTTTTTTTGAAGCGGATGGTTGCTTGTATTTAAGAACCTCCTTCACCGGTTGTGGTCATATAACGATATCTCAAAATGGACTTGTAGTTTTCTTGTGTTTCAACTTTATTTATAATTATTGCACTTGTAAATAATTATTTTAAATTTTTGTATTCGGCTCACTTTAAAAGTTTTCAACACCACACTTGTCCAAATCTTGATTTATACTAATATACACACTTCTGTTTTGCAATTTTTGTTGGTTGTTGAATTACATTGTTACAAATATTTCATATTATTTTTATAATTTAATATTATTATAAATAATTATAAATAATAAAATACATGAATACAACCCGCCATTGCCAAAGTTCTTTTTCCACAATATTGACATTACCAACTATGTTTTTTATTGTTTGTTTCCAATATTTTCACAATACTGACATTACCAAACATGTTTTCATGTTTTTGCTTCCGAAACATGGACGTTACCAAACATGTTTTCATATTTTTGTCTTTCAAAACATGAACGTAACCAAACACGTTTTCATGTTTTTGCTTCTGAAGCATGGACGTTACCAAATATATTTTTATATTTTTGCTTTCTAAAATCTTACAACAAATATACGTTACCAAACAAATTTCAAAACAGTATTCAACACATTCTAAAAGTAAAAACATTACTTCTACTTTGAGTCAAAGTAAAAACACAAAGCAACTGTGATTGCCAAAGGAGCCCATAATATCTTGAAATTCTACTCAAATTTATAAAAGATTTTGGTCTTTGTCACGCTTGTTTGTTTATTTTTATTTTATCCTGAAAAAACAAAAGAAGCTAAGGATAAGAATCAAGATTGCTTGGATGGACGTTACATTCCATCTGGATCAGAAACTGAGCTAGACAAAGCCCATTTGTTGAGAACATGGGCTGGTTTGGTGAGTCAAAGCCACTTTAAAACAGGGGTGGGCTTGCAAGAAGGTATTGATGCCTTCTAAAATGACTAATGAAAGCTCATAAAAGGGAGAACCATTCACAACATTGAGGCAACATAGGTAAGTAACCATAATTTTTTTTTTTTTTTTTTCCTTTTCTAAAAAAGAGTATAATTTATTCAATTATGATAGGAAAATTACAATCATAATCTGCAGTCGTGGTTTAAATAGGCCAAGATGAAAGTGTTGCGACTCACAAGTGATCTTAATATATTATCAATCGAGTCACTATACATATTAGAGTCGTCACCTACTTTTTTTTAACTTACGATCTAAGTCATATAAAGCGAGAGAGAAATCGAATTCGAGAACGCGGGAGCGTGAGAGTGACAAAATTACGTCATAAACAGTTAGAATTTAAGCGAGAGTGTACGCGGAGCGTGAGAGTGAAAGCGCGCTCGGAGCGTAAGAGCGACACCTTTTGAGAAGAATTGTGTGACTTAGCTTACAATTCATCACTTTTAATTAACGAGTTTTTATATATTCGAGGAGATAGGTGGAGAGGGACCAATGAGACCCATGTCATTCTCTAGGGGTGTCTTGGTGTAACAAGGATTATTTGTCTGACATCGGATTCGGATGGAAAAGTGATTGGGTATAAATTGGTGGGTATGAAGCACTACTTAACAGTTTGAGCTTTTGAATAAATGGACATCTGTTACAATTGGTGTCAGAGGCAGACTTAATTCTTGATCCGGTGTTACGCCAAACGTCCGATCTGAAATGCATCCGAATTTACCACTCAAGTAGGCAGAATGACCCGAACTTTTAAATAAATAGACAAACACCACCCGTTGCACTTGTCCATCTCATTAGATTTGTTTTAGGTGTTCGGGGTTCACGTGTAACTTTAGCTATAAATATCTCTTTCCACTCTTTATTTCCACCAGCATTCTCATTCTTCGGTGTAACCTGTCGATAATATGTAACCTTCCACCACAAAACCCCCCTAGGCCCTACCCATTCTCAAGGTTTTTTATTTATTTAATAATTGATGGTAAGAAAAATTGAATTTCTAATATTATGTCTTAGACTTTTAGACCTCATATTATAGTTTTCACGATAATATTAAACTGGCTTTGGTTTAATATAAAATTTTATATATTTATTATTGAACATTAGTATTTCGTATTCAATTTATTTTTTGCAAACATAATTAAGTTGCAAAAGGCCAAAATAAAAAATAAACAAATAAAACTATTTTGGGTCACAAGTTGCTGAACTTTGGTTAGAGAGCGATATTTGGGCTACAAAATAAGTTAATAAGTAATAAAAGTTGCCAACATCTGACAAATCCAACCAGCCCATCAAAACTTTTTGGAGAATTGACACTGACCTCTGTTAGCTACATCTTTCTCGCAATTTTTTTTTTAAAAAAAAGTGGTTTAGAGAGCGAACGTTTGTTTATGTATATAGACAAAAAAAACTACCCATTGCATTATATGTGAGGAATCAATTGGCGGATGATACTGGAAAATCAATCTCTTCCCCAGCACACGAGTTTGAATTAATTCAAAATTTATGCTTTGGTGGTTTGATATACCCGGTGCTAAAAATCGATTCATATATACTCAATTAATTTTTTGACAATATGCTTTCGAGAGCCGGGCAAAAAGTTCTTATTAAGTCATTAATGGCTTTTCTTCCTGATTATTGTAGGTGATGCTTCAAAGTTCCTTCCCCTACTTGCAAAAAAGGAGAGTTCCCACATCAAGTGGATTGAATGATCGAAGTTATGCTCTTTAGATCTGATATGGAACAACTAATAAGACCCTCTTGTAACATATTGTAAGTAAATATTTAATTAAGTGTTGTATTGAATGATGTTAGGCCATCCGGTATGCATGGCTGACTTTTTAGCTATCCATACAATGCAAGCCCCACTCAAAAAATGTGTGCAGCCATGTTAACTATGGCTAGTTTGATACCAATAGTAATACTAAAAGTGTGAATCCACTTTATTGTTTTTTTTCTCTCTTTCTCACTCTTTTTCTATCTTCCAAAATGCCCATGTATAGACGACCAAATCTCTTATTACCGTACCGACTAAATAGAATGGTTATATTTGTAATGAGTCGCAAATAGGCTGACGTGGCTCTCAAAAATTGTAAATATAACTATCAAAACAATAGATGCCATACCTTTTGCCCTTAAGTCTAAGAGTTTATATTCATTTAAATGTATTTATCCATCACAATAAATAGTCAAAAACTCTTTAAATACACGAGTAAATTAGAGCAATAAGCAATTACTAGTAATACTATTTGTTTTTTAAACCCTAAACTCTAAAAGTAATAAAATAATTTCAACTGACAAAATTACCCTCCAAATTAATGTCTCCCCTGATTATCTCACCGCACCACTCATGGGGTCATACCTTATCTCCATGCCCTCTCTCTCATGGTCAAAGTAAACACTCAAATACTGAATGACGTAAAAATGGTAAACAAATGAGGGTAAGTACAAGTATGCATCAAGTTGCATGCCAAGAGACGGATCTTTGTGGAGAATAGGACAAGACAATTTGATTGAAAAGAAAAGGTCGTTTACGCTTATCAACAAACCAAAAAAAAAAATCAAACCAAAACGGGGGAGGTCCCTACCAATTTGCAGTTGATTAAGTACGCTAAATCATTGGTATAGAGACCCACAACTTGCACTAACATTTTTTTTCCCACTTCAATTATTAGTCCTTATTCTGACGTCTTTTTCTTTATATATATATATATATATTATAAATATACAGATGAATCGATGACGCTGGGGGTGTCTGGGATGACAAAAAACATGGATCCCCTCTAGAATATCGTAATGTGGATGTTATGCATCTATGCCTATATAATTCAATTAATTTTGTTCAAAGTTAAGAACTCAATACAATCCATATATGTATATGATACATTAAAAAAAGGACAAATTTGGTCTACCGGGACTCCATCATTATGTCCCCCGTTTGATTGTTTTGACATAACATATTTTATTTGAGTAAAATATATATTTTATTTTTATTTTTCTTAATAAAAGCTTTAGAGAGTTTGAAAATGTAAAATAATTTGTTAAAAATTAATAAATTAATTATTTTTAATATATATTTTTTCATAAATATTTCACTACAATTACACAAAAAAATAAATTAAAAATTATTTTACATTCAAATAAAATAAACTAGATTATTTTAAATTTTAAACTCATAACCTCATTATCATAGTTTGCTACACACCTCTATAAATTAGACAATTTAACCAATTTACACCGTTGGAATTCATCAGGGCAATCGATATGGCGGCGACTGCCTTGCTCAATATATAATGGAGTAATGGACCAATGGCCAAGACTCGCCCTCGTAATATATTGATATCTCAACCCACATAATATATTACAGTAATATAAAATGATGTAAAAAATATATTAATATAAAATAAATATATTATTGATTAATGCGTGCAGAACTGCAGATGCAGAGCTTGAGTTTCAGCCAAACATCAACGGCCAGACTCTAAAATCCATTATATATATATAATGTACACAGAAATACAATTCTCTACGTAAATTCAAAGGAGAGAAACGGGAAAAGCGAAAGCAATGGTTGGATATCTCATCCTCCTCAACTCTCATCAAATCCAAGTTTCTCTGCAGTTGGAGCTCTCAGATTGCTAGGTTTGATCCTCTTATCTTTCTGTTCCTTTTAGTTTTCTTCTTACCTTCGTCTTTCTTTTTGTCCCATGTGAATGGAGGCCCATGTATATTCTACCAGTACTATAATCCATACCACTTTATTCTAATCCTAGACCGCTTTTAGAGAGCTAACAAAGAACTTCACTGTGAGAAAATTGTGTCAAATATAAAGTCTGTTGATCTCTATGCTCTCCAGTTTCCAAAATCTACAATTGGAAGGGATAAACCATGCTTTAAGGAGCAAATTAGTGTAGAACATACCCTTGTTTGCTTTCAAGATTTAGCTTATTTTAATCTTTTTTATTATATTTTTGTCCACCCATTTTGCTCTACTGGGATTTGAACTCTCAACCTCCACTTCGAAAGGAACAAGACATACCACTGGAATAGTCAAGATTTAGCTTTAATATTGGAAGAGATTTGGCTGATTTTGGAAGAGATTTGGCTGAATTAGAAAGGAATTTGACCATACTTGTAAACAGTTTATGTCCAAATGAAATCTTATATGTTTGATTATGCTTTCTTACAACAAATTTGGAATGAAAATGATGAATTGTTAGCTTGTGTTTACTTAAAAAAAAAAAAAAATTCTTAGTAATTGGAAGTACATGTTCACTGAAGCAACAGAAAGCTTCCATTTCTGTACTGTAGTTGGTCTGTTTTAGTAGTTTTAATAATATATTTAATAATAATAAAAAAGCTTCCAGGTCCATCACAAGGAAAATGAAAACTCCTGTTCTTGATCAAATGTGGAGAGACCCTTCATGACTTGTTTAGGTGGTAAGTGTATTGTTCCGATAGATAACTCTTCGATTGAGTTCACTAATATCTGAGCTCATTAGTTTACCCCCATCTATCTGAATGATCGGTCTCAACTCTATCTAGTTTCTTTAGTTGTTCACTAGAGCAATTATGATCTGTAAGTCGATCTAGGGCAAGTGTTCGGATCTATTATGACATAGCTACAAGACGCGCCCGGAATTTGCTCCCAGAAATATGGCCATCCCTGCATCCTCACATTCGATAAATATGGAAATTTTAAGAATGTTAGTTGTTTAATTAATCCTCTCTCATTTTCTTCTTCTTTTTCTTTTTTTCCCTGAAATTTGTTTCATTAAGAAATTTTAAGTATTTGAATTTTGATAGGTTCACAAGGTATCAAAGTTTTGGGACAGTTCTTTATCACTATATCGCCAAACAGTCTTAAAATAGAAATTGTTAGTTTCTGTTCTTCTAAAGATTCTAGGGTTTTTATTTATTTATTTATTATTTTATGTTAAACTAAATGCTTTAAGATTTTCAACAAGCTGTAGTTGTAGATTTTCGTCAGTAATGACTCTTTTTTTTCGATAGGTTAAAAATAATAATAATAAACTGTAGTAATGACTTCTGTGAGATCCATCAACCTGCTGAGTACTGTGTTGGGAATACTAAGGCCTCAACTGACCATACCTTTCTAAACTAGCTGGAGAAAAAGAAGCTGCAGAAACATTCCATGTTAGTATCTACTGTGTGATTTGGAGTTTGGGAACATGATACATACATACATATACGTATATGGTATTAAATCTTCTTATTTAAATATTTTTATTTTTGGCATTTTGGTATATAATTTGCAAGATATTTGTGATTTTTAGAAAAAATATTATTTTAGGTAAAAACCTGTAAAATTTGATGTGAGAATCGTGCTTTTGGTTGATGAGTAGTACAAGATAGAACAGATAGCATGACTGGTTAGCCTAAAACGATTATTTGAGTGGAAGGTTAAGGGTTCAAGTCCCCATAGGGGCAAGTGTGTGTGTGTGTGTGTTTCTTGCCAAGGTAAGAAAATAATAAAATAAAAAAGAATGATTTTTTGATATTTCTAGCATGTTTACACGGCCAAGCTCAGGTATTTGTGGTAGTCGATAAAGCTTCATGTTTCCTTCTTGTTATGAGACACCATGGAAAATGGAAATTTCAAGTGATACTGGAAGATCTGTTCTTTTTGGCTTTAACCTTGAACTGCATATTATCACACACACAAAAACTTCCAAGGGACACACAGCATTGTTTGATTGGATTAGACATGATGGGAAATTCACGGAGTGAGTTTTTGTTTGATACTATTCTTATAATAATCGCATGTCTGGCCCACTGGGGAGTGGAGCTGATGACATAGCATGATCCAGAAAACATGGGAGAGGATCCTATACAATGTTGCAACAATATGGCATCTTGGCAGTCATTTACCTTTGCAGGCTGGATAATCAGGAAATAGACCGGCTTTAACTCTCGCTGGTTAAGTTGGGGGAATGACTTCTACCTCGACTAAGGGATTTCGTATCATTATGTCTTGATAGGATGTGTTTGATTCGTGATGTGCTATATTGGATTAGTATTCTGGTGAATGTAAGTATATATCATGCATGCTTTCCTACGTTTTCTATTCAAACTGTTATTTCTAGTGCTATAAGTAAAATGTTTAGCCGTATATCTCTGCGTTTCAAAACAAAAAGATCTGCAAGTGTCCTTGTGTTTTCAGAAAACTAGAATATGGAAAATGTTTTAATCTGAATGCTAAGTGCTAGATTGCTGATGAGATTTAATCCTCATCACCTGATCTCTGTGTTAAGCTATTTGGGCTGGAGATCAGCCCTTAAGATGGAGGGTTTTACTGTATTCTTTTATCACTTCTTGCGGAAGAGTCTGAGCTCAACTTGTAGCAACATTGCAGTAGGTTTTCTATCACACGGTTTTATGAAGCTTTCTTATGCATACTGGAAGTCAGCTGTTTATATGTTTTAAATTCTCAGCAGGCTTGCCAATCAGCTTCTGTAAATTTATGTGCTCAATCTCAATGAAGAGATGCTTATTCAATATTCACTTATCTCTTAGTTGATAGTCTCTTATTCTGTTGTTGACTGAACTGTCTACTTGACACATATCGAGATTTTTTTTAGAGTGATTCTCATATGGGAGTATTTTAGTACATTATAAATTTTGTAATTCTGGGTCAGCCCCTAGATAGGAGGTCGTGCAGATTACATTGATGGAATGATCCCCTTATGATTAAACAAATCATTCATTGTTGGTTTCTTGTTTGGTGGGATCATCATTTCTACTTTTTTGGTAATTCCAAAAATGGGAACAAGTATATCAGCTTTAATGAGGTTTTTTATTAGTTCGGCTGACCGTTGTGGCCTGGCAGACTTCCAATTGAAATGCAGCTGGAATAACCAACCTGCAGGGCTACTTGGGTTAGGCAAATAAGTGATGGGAAATCCATCGTTAGGTTCGTGAGAGGCCCAACTTGTGCCAAGTGTCATAACAATGACGTCAAACCTCCCTTGTTTCATGTTGCAGACTGGGATCATCTCCACAAGCCCCCAAATCTAACCACCAATCCAAACACTCCATAATTCCCTGAGTCTCACCCATGAGTGTTCTGACAAGCAATGACCCTACTTTCTGTGTCCCGCAGGCCCTGCCTCTGACCCAGGCTGGCATCCAGTGTTTGGGAGCATGAAAAGGGGGATACTGATCCATCTGTGCAAGTCCGGGCTGGAGTTTCCCTGTTTATGGAGGGAAGGTGGAATTCACCACCCAGCGTTGCTGTGGTCATGGTCTTGCTGCCATGTGGTGGCAGATGCTCAAGCCACTTGGTGCAATTTAAGTGGGGCTTTTTCTAGTGTCAACAGTATGTTATCATGTAAATTTGCTGACTAGCCTCTTTATAAGTGTTACCAGATGCCGCACTGCTAATTATGTTGCTGCTGTTGCTTTTACAGGTTTTATCCAGAGCCAAGTTTGATGCATATCTCTTGGGCCCCTTAAGTTGGATTAGTTTGGGCGTATAGCTACTTGCCTCCACGGTCATTGATTAATTTGAGGTGTAATATATATCTGATTGAGGGGTCTCTGGTTACTGAAATGGGCCAATGTCATCTTAATACATATTTAGTTTTGGAGCATCTGTAAGCGGAAATGTTGAAGCATTATCTATAGTAATTGAAAATGTGACACCTTGACAGGACTGTCTCAAACCCTTCTGGTGGGGATATAGCCTTGCTAAAACTGAAATTGTGGTTGCAATGTAGTTACTTTTTTATGCACCTGTAAAACATTATATATTCAAGATCCTGTCCATGGAAGTCTAATGTGGGACCGTGGCATATTGCAGCTCTCAAATTGACAAGTTGGATGAAACATTGTGCTGTTGTATAAGACCATGAATTGTCACAGCAGTGTATCTATGAAACAAAGTGAGTCTGCCAAAGGAGTGAGAGAGTCTCACTGTACTTCCGTATCCCCAATTCATAATTTCTGGAGTGTTGAATCAGAAGGTCAAGGTTTATCCGCTGGTGAATGTTCATCTTCATGTATGTTGCCTAAGATGCATACAGATCCTCATGGGACCCCCAATTTAATGCGTGCGTCTGCAGTCCAACCTCAGAAAATTTCTTTGAAATCTGGACCAGGCTTGTCTCACGAATCTCATGTTCAATATCCTAAAAACATGTTTTCCCGTTCTTCTATGTTCTGTACTAGTTTATACTTGTCATCTTCATCAAGCTCTGAAACTGATCGACAGCTTGGAAAACTGCCATTTCTTCCACATCCTCCAGCATACAATGAGCCCAGGTCTGCTATTCAGTCAACAAAATCTGCATTGATGTTTACTGGGGATTCAAGTGATTCATATGATGGGAAGCATTCACCAGATTTTGTGAAACACTTTCTTAATTTGCCTGGAGATGCTTCATATGGTAGTAGTTGTGGTATGAATTGTGCAAGTGACAGTTTAATGCTTACAGAGCAATTGGAGTTTCAGTTTTTGTCTGATGATCTCAATATATCTATAGGTGGCAATGTAGAAATTCCCCGGCTCGATGTAAGTGCATTGTGGCTGATATTTAATTGCATTGATATTAGGAATTACTTGTAAAAGTTTGGAACATTCTATTTGTTACTATAATTTTATTCCAAAAATAATCCCTCTTGTAGTGCATGAGAGTGACATACTAATAATCCCATGACCCAGAAAGAGACCCATTATTTCTATTTTAGCTGTCCTCTGGATTTTTTCATGGTAGTCATGAAGAATGGAATGAATTAGATGTTCAATGTTTTGTGTTTGGTTTACCTTTGAATTAGTGAAGAGGGAAAGATGAGATAAAGGGGTTAGTTTACATGTTTTTCCCGTATGCACTGTACGCCATATCTGGCCTGTTGAGTTGGTCCCATCTGAGTCCAAATTTGACCTTTAGAATTACTTACACAGAGTAGCTGCCTTAAGCCTTCATACTTGAATCTTGCTTGAATACCTTTTGTTTTCTGCTCAGGAAATATATGAATCATGCCAAGCTTCATCTAAAGCAGCCTCAGACTTGACATCTAATCAGAATTATCACCCTGTTACACCTGTTGATGTTCAATCAAGTCAACCTTCTCCTGGTCCTGACACTGTGCACAAGCCAAGAATGAGATGGACACCTGAGCTCCACAAGTGTTTCCTAGAGGCTGTCGACAAGCTTGACAGGGCTGAAAGTAAGTGCCTAGTTTCTGTATTTTGCAAGGCAAAATGGGGCTTAGTTCTTTATCTGATAGTGAGGAAGATAGTTTCGTTGTCTCAAATTTTTGTTGGTGATCAAGTTGGTTGTTAATATCTGAAAGATTATTGCATTATTCTATTTTACGAGGCTTACCTGATATTATTTCAAAATACAGAGGCAACCCCGAAGGGTGTATTGAAGCTTATGAACATTGAAGGTTTGACCATCTATCATGTAAAAAGCCACTTACAGGTAATGTTTAATATTTACCTGCTGACTTGATTTTTAAAATTGAAATTAGTTAGCATTCATCTTAAGTGCTGGTTCATGTGTTATGTGTCTATATTTTGCAGAAATATCGACTTGCCAAGTATATACCAGAGAGAAAAGAAGGTAAGGAATATATTGAAAAGAATTTGTGGTCATGGTCATCACAATAATAATCTGTGATCTACAAAATGAGAAATCATTAGTCAGTTTTTTACTTCTCAGCTATTAAGTTTGGTCCGATATCTGGAACCATGCTACTACAATAAAGTGTGATTTAATATCTATTTCAGTTTCTAAATCATCATTATTGACCCTTAACTTCCTTTCCCACTCTTGTTGCTCCTGGTATTCAGTAGACATGTCCAAATTCTCTCAAGTCAGTGTCCCTTTGCATAACAGTCGTTTTGTACTGTATATTGTTCCTTCTTCTCTCAGTTCTGTGTTAACCACATTAATTTGTGGATATAACTTCACCTTAGTATTTGTTCTCTACTTCACAAAATATAGCAAATTTTTATGATGCCCATTAGCATGTGAGATGTTGGCTCTACTGTTAATTTGCCCACATTATTTTCATTTCTAATACTCATTCTCTAGTCTGTTCACTCATATATGAGAAATCTACAATTGATATGCTCTAGTACCAAATGAGGGAACTAACCGACAGCCTAGGCTCTACGTCAGAGTATGAACAAATCAATTTAGATCTAGAGGGGAAGTTAAATAGTTCTTATAGATGCTCAATTGAGAATAACCAACTTTTCACATTTTAGTTGATACTAGTCCAATTTCCAATTGATTAGTCATGACCATGTCTCAGTACCAATTATTCAAACACGTATAACTATAAAAGTGAAGTAAAGCAAAGACACAATTTTTACGTGAAATCCCCTAGAAAGGGAAAAACGACAAGACCCTTAGTCTAGGAACAATCTACTTAGAGATAGGTTTCACAACTAGGTGACCAGACTGTAATCCCAAGAATCCCCTAATTGCCTCTAACTCAAGTTCACACTAGATGTTCTCCTTGAACTCTGCTGCTGCAAGTCAACAAACTCCATGGGAGACCACCATTTTTTTTAAAATCCATGTTTGGATAGTACTCTAGTTGCACTGGAATTCTAATGTGGTTCTGGATCAACTAGTTGTCCTCCCTTCTATCCGGATTCCACCTATATCAAATGAGGAAAATACATCTAGGAGGGGCTGCTTCTGTCCTTGTTTGGTCGACAAAGTCAAAGGATCCCAATTTCGCATTTGATAAAAATAATAATAATAAAAAATAAAAATAAAAAATCCCTCAATTTCTTATTTTACATGGGCAACTTCTACCTCCAAATGCATGGAAGGTCTAAGTGAGGTCAATATTGTAATAGCGTAACTAGTGGCACAATAAGGAAAAGAAAGACTGGGTGCACTTATTATTGTGTAATCACACATAACAGACACTCATGAATCGTGCATGACCATGACAGTCCGACCAAAATGAATCCTAAACTGGTTGTGGCCATTTTGTCCAATTTTGTTCTTTAGGGAAGTGATGTGTTTTAGGGATCTGTTCCCTTCCTCTCTGGCACCCCTCCCCTTCTTTCCCTCTCTCCCTCAAGTGTGTTTCCTTGTCAGGAAGAAAACATACAAATGAAAGCAGGTTGCTTACTAGGGCTTGCACCTTAGGGCAATTTCGATTGGCCTACTCATAAAATTTCAAGTAGAATAGTGCATCATGGCCTCATAATGGCTTCAGTCCTGCAACAGTTTTTTGTAGTGTCAAGTTGATTTTATTATTATTATTATTTTACTTTTCCTGTTCATTTTGAGATTACTAGTGATTTTTCCATGTCTATTTAGAATGATCTGTTAATGCGTGTGATTTAATACAAAGGGCAGTTAAATTCTGGCTTGAATCTTTTACATGTGCTTTTCTTTCCATTTCTCAGACAACCACCCTTCTGGTTCTGAGGAGAAAAAGGCTACTTCAAGTAATGGAAGTGATGGAAGGAGGAAAGGGTCAGATACATTTTTCATTTGTTTTCCTGTATCTTCCTTCCTTCATTGTTGAATCACTCAAAATATAAGATGTTCATTTTCTTGTTACAGGAACATTCAAGTTAGCGAGGCTCTACGCATGCAAATTGAAGTTCAGAAACAGCTACATGAACAACTTGAGGTATATTTTCTGCTTTAGTAGGTGGCATTTTGAATATTGACTGGCTCAAAAATTTGTAACATTTTTTTTCTTCTTTTTGTCCATTTAGCCTGGTAATATTTGACCTAGCTTTCTATTAAGCTGTCTAGTAGCATGGGGCTCCTTTTTTTTCTTTTTTCTTATTCATACTTTGATTTAGTCTTGTAATGAGTAAGTTGTGTTTACGTTTTCTTTTAATTCTCTCCACTCCCTTCTCCCCTCTCTTGGTACAGAATTGATCATTGAAACATTAAAATTTGAAACATACCTAAATCCCATTCTTTACCTAACAGCTTGATATCTTAAACATGCAGTCAATTTGTTTTGCCCTCTAGGTACATTGTTGTTCTTTGTTCACTCTCTTTAGATCTGAACTTATTCTTGGATCTACTGAAAAGAAGTAAAGAAAATATGAAAACCATCTCCGTCATCCTCAACTTACATCTCATTTATTTTTATTTGTTCTTATTCCTCCATTGACTCAAGTAGTTCCTTTTTGTTCCCGGTTGTCAGGTGCAAAGGACACTTCAATTACGCATAGAGGAACATGCGAAGTACTTGCAAAAGATATTGGAGGAACAGCAGAAAGCTGGCAGTGGTTTGGTATCCCCTCACAACCTAACATGGCTGAAAAGCTCACAACCAAATTCTGAACTGCAACCTTTATCTCCGTTGCCTGGTGCCTCGTCCTGCCAAGCAGCTGGGTCAAAAACTGACTCCTCGTCACCTTTGCCGCCAAAGCATAAAGCGACTGAAAATAGTGATTCTGAGCAGCAACCAAGTGAGAAAAGGCCTCGACTTGAAGCAAAGCAGGAATCAGTTTCTGAGGAGGCTGATACCGATTCATTTAGTGCTGCTCAGAAATCTCCATGATAGCATGAAGTCCAGGATTTCCCAGCACACTTGTAAATTAGTTTACTGTGTTAGCTAGTAAAATGGAAGTGATAATTATTTGATTTGTATATTGTGACAGTGTGCCTATTGACAGAAACAGTTATTTGGTGAATCTGTTGTATTTATGGCTTTTAATTTGCACATTCTTTTGACATTTTCTTATTTGGTGCGAATAGAATTGGTCAGAATTTATAAATTTCAGACTGAATCTCTAGCTGTACAATTTTTTTTTAAAAACAAGGCAAGAAGTGTTAGAAGTGATTAGTAGATGCAAAGAATCGAAACTTGACATTCCAAAATCCACTGGAGGCCTGGTATTTTGGGGTTTTCTGTATTATTTCCTCTTGTTATTATTATTATTATTTTCAGAGAGTCTAAACTTGACACTCCAAAATCTACCGGAAGCCTGGTACTTTGGGGTTTTTTGTATTATTTCCTCTTGTTATTATTATTATTATTTAAAAAAATATATTATATCATAATTCTTATGTTGTGTTTGGTAGCACCAAATCAATGCCATGACATTAGAATCACAGGAAACTATTTTTTTTTTCGAATTTCAATTCAAACATTATTTTCTCCAATTCTAAGACGTAAATTCAACGCTTCCAAACATTACTTTAAATCAATCTAATTAGCTGAGTAAATGTTTGTGCCAAAGTTGGTCCGTTTCATTTTTTGAGCGGAATGGTTGGATTTACGAAATTAAGGATATGCCAGGTTCAATTTTCAAAGGATAAATTTATGCTTTTGGGGCAACCCCAGCGCACAAAGAAAGTGTACAATATGTGAGCCTGTGTGGAATGAATGGCTTTCCTATACGGATTACACACTAGTGGGGCCCATCTAATATTACATACTCCACTCTTCACAGGTAAAGAATGGAGTAGCGCCTGGCAGTGAGTAGAAAGGGCAACGCAGTTAAATAATGATATAAAATAAAAAAATGATATTGTGTGATGGTGTGTAAAATAATTATTGTATGTGTATTGGATTAATTAATTAATATAAAGATAGTCATATTTTAATTAACTAAAAAAAATTATTTTTCCTAAATAAATAAAAAGAGTCATTTAATTTGCATAATAATTTAATTAATTATTTTTTTTAAAAAAAATTTGTACTATTTGCCGTTAAAATATGACAAACATAATATAACCGCTACGAATATAACCGTTAGGAAAAAGACAAACAGAATATAGATGTTGAGAAAAAACAAATAAAATATAGCCATTTGTAATATTACATATTCTCTATAAATACCACTATACTTCTATCAAAATTATTCATCATTCATCAGTTAGTTATCTTCTCTTTCTCGATCTTCCTTTCAATTTTTTTTGACGAAATTTTTTTCCTTGAACACTCCTTGGATCAACGACCTCCATTACTCCCATTGTAAAACTCTGAAGTATAACCACAATTCAATTATGATTTTTACTCTTCAGAATTTTACCAATTCGAAAACTTATCTCGATCTCCATTCTCTCATTTCCAAAACCCACCACATTCTCTATACCAATCTCATTCCCAATACCTACCTTCTTCCCAATACCAATCTCATTTTCAATACCCACCTCCTTCCCAATACCCACCTCCTATCCAATCTCAACCTCCTTCCCAATATACATCTCAACCTGAACCTTCTCAATCCAAGTCTAATTTAAGGAAAGATAGGAAAAATTGGTCCACCCAAAAAGATGAAGCGTTATGCAAAGGGTGGATTAATATTGGTGAAGATCCAATAACAGGTGCAGATTAACAAAGTGGCACATATTGGGGATGTATCCATGCTGATTTCAAACGCCAAATGGGCGACATGGAGAAGAACCAACAACAGTCAAGTTTGTCGAATCGATTCTCAATAATTAGGCGAGTAGTCAGCAAATTTAGTGGATACCACCAACAGATCCAAAACCAATGTCGAAGTGGATATGACGTTGAAGATGTCATAAGTTTGTTACTTTGTAATAATATTCTTACTGTCTAAATTTCCTTAAAAATAAATATTTATTTTAATTGACAATCTGTCTAAATATAGTTTTTGTTTAATTTTTATAGCACATGACAACAAAAGCACTGTATGAAGATGAAGAAGGGGAGCCATTTAAGTTGGAGCACTATTGGAATTTTCTTCGGAAATCTTCAAAATGGTTCCAAAATTGCGATACAATAAAGAAACAACAAACACCAAACACAAACAAGAGAGCTATAGATCTTGATATGAATGAGCCTAGAGATTGTTACGAAACAGTTCCATCAACACCAGGTTCAATCCCAACTAATTCATCTACTCAGTCAACTCCTGTAGTATCAACACCAGGTTCGGTAAACCTTGGCGATGACAACTCACCGGCCATTGACGAAAGTTCACGTGACACTTCACGACCTATTGGGTGAAAAGCTGCCAATAAGGGTCGTAAAAGTAAGGATAAGGTACAAAATGACTTATTTCTTACATTGTTTCAAGGATTTGCCGAGCAAAATAAGTTGATGGACAACTTAGCACTCGAATCTCGTACTTTAAAAATGAAATCGAAAATTGATTTGGGCATGGAGCAAGAACGGACACGGCGATTGGAGCTTAAGCTGCAAAAAGAAATGAAATTAAAGGAGCTTGAGGCGCAAAAATAAATGAAGATAATTGAGACTTAGCAGGAGCAAGTTCTTTGGGAAAGACAAATGATGGAAAAAAATACAAATGATGCTGCAACACCGGCGGTAAAGCATGGATCGAGGATCAACAAAATAAAATTATGCCGCGTTATGCAAAAAGGGACAATTAATTGTAATGTTTACTATATTTTTTTTCATGTGTGGAAGTATAAATGTTTTTTTTTTTTTTTTTTTAAGTTGTATTGTTTTATTTTATTTGTAGGAAGCTATGTAATGCACTTTTTATTATATATATATATATATTTAAAATCTTGTATCTAAATCGGAGCAAACAATTATAGCTGTTAGTATTATAGTTATTGAGAATAAAACTTTTAAGAAAAAAAATAATAATAAAAAAAAATTATTTTATTATTTAAAAAATAATAATATAATAAAGTATACAATGAAGAAATGAGTGCACAACAAGAATTTAGATCCTTCAAAATAAGTATACAATCAAATGCTGACGTGGCTATACACTTTATATAAAATTAATGATGTGGCTACACACTTTATGTAAAGTGTGGGATGAGAAGTAATATGTGCGCTGAGGTTGCTCTCAGATAACTGAAAATTTAAAAACTTAAAAAAAATTAAAAATAAAAAATAAAAAATTCCCTTCTACGACTCACTTTTTCTGAAAAAGGTCTGTCCAGTTTCTGTTTAAGAGAACCAAGCAAGCGTGCTCTAATTTTCTGATGTTCCAAATTTGGTTTTAGATTTCATGTGGATTTATCCTCCACAGTTGTTATTTGTGCAAAAGTAGAAAAATACGGAACTCAGTTTCAAGACTGAGAAAGGAAAAAGGTAAGACCATCCCCATATCTTGTCGTTGTGGTCCCCGAATCCGGATGATGATGAGTTTAGCTGTCATGGGTGGACATGTAAATTATGGCTTTACATTAGGATTTGAGAAAAGAAAAATAAAAAATCGCCTGAATTGGGAAAAAAAAATTAAAATAAAGAAACGGAAAAGAACTCTTTATGATCTTTTTTTTAGAGTCGAAACACTGTGGGAACAGTTTGGAGAAATCAGTCACGTGCGAAAGTCTTGCTTTTCTTTTTTAAAAAAATTCCTCTCTTAAATTGTTAATGAAAGAAAAAAAGGAAAAACTATGTATAAGTAAAATTAAGAGATCTAAATAACAAATTGATTAATTTTAAAAGTTAATTTTTCATATTGATTGAATTAAATAAAATAATTTCAAATGCATCAAAAATTATTAAAAGTTCAAAATGTCCTCACATTCTTATTACAAAATGCAAAATTATCCTTTTTAAAATTATATAATTTCAAATATTAAAATAAATAATTAAAAATTAGGTTAATTAGCAAATAAAAATTCTCCATGTCTTCTCTTCGTCCATGGCATTGGATTGCCTTTTGGGATTGATGTCATTTGATATGAAAGGTAAGAATTGAGAAAGAAAGCTCCAACAGCTTGCTATGGCAGTGGTATAGGAGAATTTTCAATTGTTACCTAAATGAAACTATTATTATTGTTTATATATTAGAAGCTGTAAAAACTATAATGAGTTTTATCAAGGATCTTTGTTCGACAGTAGGGTAATGAAGTTTTTTTTTTTTTTTGCCTGGTAGGATAATATGAAGTATTGGAATATCCATCTCTCTTTTATTTTTTGTTTTCTAGATGTCTTTAGTTGTTATTTATTTCATTCTTCAATCAATTATAAAAAATCACAAAAATTTGAAATGTCAAATTGATAACCCTATGCAATAACCCACAACATACTTCTAAAGCCTACAGAGTCATAGATCTAAAACTTGTGAACAAAAATTATTACATATTTATATTTATGTGTGGGGGGGACCTTGAAAACCTGCCAGGTGGGTAGTGTCCGAGATGTTGGTGGCTGATTGACAATGAATATGAGTGATAGAGAATTATTATTCGTTAGTCAAACTAATTTTTAATTATCTATTTTATTATATTAAAATTATATAATTTTGAGGAGAATATTTTGGTATTTTGAAATAAGAGTTTGAGGATATTATGGACCTGAGCAACAAATATTGATGTATTTGTAATTATTTTGCTTAATCCAATCAAAATTGAAAATTAACTTTAAAACCTGATCGATTTGTTATTTAAGGCTCTTAACTTTACTTATATGTAATTTTCCAAAAAAAAAAAGAAAAAAAAAAAGCCTATTATCATATATAAAAATAAAAATATGAATAAATTAGGTATATATATATATATATATATATATATATATATAATGCTAACCAAACTACATGATGAGACTTTCCCATATTTTTCTTGAAATTTTTTCATGTTAACTATCAAAATTTATTTTTCTTTCATTTATTTCACTTTCACTTTTTAATATTAATTTTCATCTAAACAAATGCACCTTTAATAAAAAAAAAAAAAAATTGGTTGGATAATTATTACAAATTAAAGGTACTCGAAAAAAAGAATTAAAGAAAAAGAAAAAGACAAATTTTTTTTTTTTGAGACAACTGACAAAAAATTCACCCATCAACCGTTTGCTACTAAACTGGAGCATGCGTCCGTGGAGTGGCGTCAAAACGGTCTGCCTGATTACTACGAAGACGAACAACCCTAGGAAAAGAGAAGGGAAAGGAAAGGAAAGGAAAGAAAAGAGAAAGGAAAGGAACTCGCGCGTGTGTGTTCGCGGTTGAAATCGTGATGTATGGTAGATTGTCTCTGACTGGGTCCGTGACTCTGATTACGAGTTTTGACTGTCCAAAAAGCGTCGGAGCTCTGTAGAAAAATGGGTACTTTACCTCTTTATCGCTTCTTAATCACCGCAACTACCACCACCGCTAAAGAAGATATAGGACATGGTCGTCGTCTACGTTCCAGCGACTACTACTACTGCGCTTCCATCTTATCATAACCCATGATGATATATTATTATCTATCAGTACTGCTCTGCTATTCATCCTCTGTTTTTGTGATTCATATTCTTAACCAGCCCTTCATTACCGACTCTCACAATCTCACAAGGTAAAAAAGCTCTGCCTTTGTTTTTTTTTTTTATCCTCTATTTATTATTATTTATTACTATTTTAAATTTTGTTATCTCTGTATTGTGAATGTGATCCTAGAATGGTATTCTCTCTCTCATGTTGACCTCTCTCTCTCTTTCAATAAAGATCAAAAAAATTGGTGATGGGTGTTCCATTACGAAAATTATATAAAATCATTATCAATCAATAACTTTAAATGCTCTTAATCACTTATCTGTGTTGGATTTTTGCAATTCCTTCTGGAAGAACATCAATATTGTAAGGAAAATAATTTTAATGCCCAAGAGTTGTAGAAAATTCCTTAACCAAATGCTCTTGATTGGTCATGCAAGCCCAACTCTTGGGCCTGAGTGTCACTACTCTTCTTATTTTGTGGGTGTGGTTGGGATTGCTGTTGAACTACTTAGAAACCCTTTAATTTTAAAAAATCGATTTTAAATTTGTTTGGTAATCAAAAAACACTTTTATTTTAATTTTATGATAGAGATTTTGAATGAGGCTAAAATTTCTATCTTTTAAAACAGCATTCTTGGTAGAGGTGTTATTATATTGTAAGTAACTATTTTTTCTTAGACAGTTTTATTTATTTTTATTTTTATAAAAATAATGTTACCCCTTCTTGTTATGAAGTCCTACTATTATCAAATACAATAGCACTTCATTAAAAGGCATTATTGTAAAATTAGTAATAAAAGTGCCTTTAAACAATATTTACCAAACAAATTAAAAAATACTTTAATTGTGAAAAGTACTTTATATAATGTATCAACAAACAGCTAACATGTTTTCTATTAACAACAAATTTGTGACAACTGTAGTGATAAAAACACCTTTTTCATTACAACAGCATGCGCCCTGTAAAGAAGTACAAAAGTGCTTTAAATGACCGCTATTTTGGTGGAAATCTTACATGAATGCTTCATCTAGATGGCAATAACATTCCTCACGAGTTTACATGAATGCTTCATCTAGATGGCAATAACATTCCTCACGAGTTTCATGTTACTCCAGAGGCCACTGGGTCATATCACTGAAACAAGAATGAGCATGTGGATAAATTAGAGTAACCATAGGAGGAGAGGAAGTTGGAGTGGCACCTACTGGTGATACAATAATATTTAGAAGCTCAGGTGGTATGGACATATATAGGGTGGACCAGTAGGACAAAAAAAAAACTGTCGAAGCAATAGGTGAGTGTCAATGAGGTACCAAAACTAGTATGAGATGAAGTAACAAGAAAGTATCCTTAAAAAATGGATTTAAGAAATGCATAACTTGGTATATGAAAGGATTGAAGGAAGAACACCCCATTTGATTGGAATCAAGGCAAGGAAAGGATTCCCATTTCTAGGCCTTTGCATTTTAAACTTGGTATGAAGTAAACCATTGATGAATCTTTTACCAGTTATAGAAAATTTCTAATCTTACTGGAAAAATAATGTGGATTTATCTCAAGGCAAAGCTAGGATATGGATGGTTTAAAGTGAGAAAGTTCAATGCATGGAACTTTAATATGTGAACTTAACTTTTAGAAGTTGGGCTGTGAAACACTTATTGACAGTTGTTTTTTTTCGCACAATGTTATACCTATTAATTACCGTCTACTCTAAAAGCCTAAGTTGTTAGAGAGGGTGTAAATTTATTATTTAAATCCTCTACCACATTTCCCTCATTCCTGGCATTCTTTAGGTCCAACATGTGTTTTAATTTTAATTACTAGGGTGACGGTATTTGAACTCAAGACCTAGCCTACTCTGATACCATGTTAAATACCATTTACTCTAAAAGCTTAAGCTGTTTAAGCTGTTAGAGATGGTGTAACTTTATATTTAAATTCTCTAACAATACCTATCCATCCTTCAAACTTGGAAGGAGATGCTTTTCTTTTTCTTTGTCTATTTTGTGCAATCATCTCATGCTAATTAAGAGCTATTCTTCACAGTGAGAATCAAGGAGCAATGTTAGCCTAATCATACCTGATCTTCTTTGGAAATATTGGAATTTTAATGGGAGCTTCCTACTCGTCATGGGTACCACATCTTGAAGTAAAAGTTTTAGAGTCTACTCAACAGAGATTATGATTGATTGAAACATTGCAAGTCAAATAATTTTTTATTTTTTTTAATCTATTCCTAGCACTATGAAGATCACATGAAACAAATGGTAGAATCCATTTGTTATGTCACTAATATCTAGCATCTGGTGACATGATTTGAACGGGAACAAATTTCATAAATATCTATAACCCCGTGCTTCAAAATAGAACTATTACCTACCATGCACATCCTATTGTTGGTTAGCTGTTGGAGTTTCAACCCCATTCATTTTATTGAAAAAATATTCTCCAAATAAAGGCCCCTAGATAGTTGGAAACTTGTATGTCCCAAATAAAGAGCATGCTGGATCGCATAACTGTATTTGAAAACTCATTTTATTACTTGAATGAAAATCCTATGAATTAGGGATGTGAAGCCACCCGTTGTCTCTTCATGATGAACAATTAAATCATTGATCTTGTCACCCTATATATTTTGGGTCAAAAAAAGTATTTGGTTTAGGGGTCACTGTTTTGGTTCAGAGTAGGAAAAACCTAGGAAAAATAAGTGGAGTGGAAGACAATAGATAATGCAAACATTATGCTTACTGCAGTTGTCATGGAAGATTGCTCTTAAAAATTTAGTATAACACTACGTGTTATTGAGTTTTGTGGTATGGCTAAAGTTTCCAGTGGTTGGAGATTTATGATTTAAAAAATGGTGGAAAAAATATTGTAGGAGTTGTAAATGGAATTCTAGGAATTGGCTTGGTTTATAATTGATGGCTTGCTATCATTTCAAAAACTTGGTTTTGTTGTGCTCTTGAACGAGTTGAGAGCTCATCTTGTGTTGAAGGGCTCTATCACTGACCAGAAAGATCGTTTGGCTAATGAGGTGTTTGGAACCCCACTTTCTAGCTGCTCTCCATCCATGTCATCTGTTGAGTATGGGGAGGACGGGTCGTGTTCCTCTGTTCATGGGGATGCGGGCATGGTTTTGTGGAACGGATGCGAGTCTGATTTTGATTTGCTTACACCTTTGGCAGTTGTTAGACCAGAAGGGAATTCTGCGGAAGGGAGGGGATTTGATGTAGGGTTGGCTGATTTGGAGAATGATTGGATGAAAGAAAATGGAGTTGAGATAGGTTCTCTTTTGGGTGTGTCATTTGAGGGTCGGATGGAGGAGGCGACAAATCTATTCCTTGATGTTCTTAATGTTCAGTTTGCTGATAGAATGGATTGTAGGGGGAGTGTTCCAGTGGTGAGAGAGGAGAGAGGGACTCCAAGTCCCTCGACTCTTGTTACTTATGAAAGGAGGAGGAGGAGGAGGGCTAGGGAGAGGGCCAGTGAGAGGAGGGGTGAGACGGTCAACACTACTGTTTCCCTGTGAAGCTACAAATTCTTTCATGGAATGTCCGGGGTCTCAACGACCCGGCTAGAAGGAAAGTGGTGAAATCGGTGATTCGGAAAGTAGGTGGTCATCTAGTGTGTCTTCAAGAAACCAAGATTGCTTCCATGGCGGATGTGATTGTTCGAAGTTTGTGGGGTGGGAGATTCGTGGAGTGGTGTGCCTTGGATGCGATTGTCTCTTCGGGTGGTATCCTGATCATGTGGGATGTCCGTTGGATCTCTTTGTTGGCCTCTCAGGTTGGGCATTTCTCGGCTTCCTGTGTTCTATCCATGGTGGAGGATGGCTTTCGTTGGGTTTTTTCTGGAGTCTATGGGCCTATGGAAGATTGTGATAGCCATTTGCTCTTGGAGGAGCTGGGAGAAATTTGTAGGCGATGGTCGCTGCCTTGGTGTATCGGGGGGGATTTCAATATTGTACGTTTCCCTTTTGAGAGATCGACAAGGGGCAGATGGACAGCTGATATGATGGCTTTCTCAGAGTTTATTGATGCTTGCTGTTTACTTGATTTGCCTTTGGTGGGTGGGCCTTTCACTTGGTCCAGTGGACGTTCTCCTCCTACTCTTTCTCGTCTTGATAGATTCTTGGTGTCGAGTGATTGGGAGGAGAAGTTTTCTGATGTAGTTCAGACCACCTTGGCTCGTCCTTTGTCTGATCATGTTCCGTTGTTGTTGGACTGTGGCGGGTTGCGTATCAGAAGATCCCCATTTAGATTTGAGAATTTGTGGCTCTGGGCTGAAGGTTTTTTGGAGTGAGTCGGATCCTGGTGGGCGGGGTATGGAGTGGTTGGCACTCCAAGTCGTTCTTTGGCAGGCAAGTTGCGTTTTTTGAAGAATGATCTCAAAGTCTGGAACAAAGAGGTTTTTGGCAAATTGGTCTGGAAAAAGAATCGGGTTCTCTCTGTGATTGCTGACATTGATAAGATCGAGAGTCAGGGTCTTTTGACGGGTCCTTTGAAGCTTAGGAGGGTGGAGTGTCAAGCAGAGTTTGCTGAGATTGTTGTTATGGAGGAGATTTCATGGAGACAGAAATCTAGAGCTTTGTGGCTTAAGGAAGGTGACAATAACACTAAATTCTTTCATAGACTTGCCAATGCTCACAGAAGGGGCAACCACATTGGGAGGATAAGGGTGGATGGGGTGTTGGTTAGTAAAGAGGAGGAGATTTGTAAGAGTTTTTCTGAGTACTTTTCGAAGTTGTTCACTGAGTCAGCCGATTGGCGTCCTTTGCTTGATGGGCTTCAATTTGATTCCATTTCGGGAGAGGAGTGCTTTGTTTTGGAAGAGCCTTTTTCAGAAGAGGAAGTTCTCTCTACTCTGAAGAGCTGTAATGGGGATAAAGCTCCTGGACCTGATGGTTTTACTATGAGGTTCCTTTTGGAGTGTTAGGAGGTGGTCCGTGAGGAGGTGATGGGCTCTTTTCATGCCTTCCACGTGCAGGGCTCTTTTGAAAAAAGTTTGAATGCAACTTTATTGCTCTTATTCCGAAGAAGGGAGAGGCAGTGGATGTTAGAGACTTCCGCCCTATTAGTTTG